CTATTGAATCAATGGATTTTGAAAGTAAAAATTTCATATATATATATATATTTCTTTTTTCATTTTCAATTTAATTGATTTCTTTAGATGCTGCTAATGAAAATAATCAAAATCAATTATCTCATCAACATCAACATCATCATCATCATTCTCAAATGAATGCAAATTCAGCATTACTATTAGTTCGTTTTTTAAAGTGTTTAGAAAAAGCAGCTGTTGGAATTGTTTATTATGTTGATTGTACGGTTAAACATGAACTTCTTCGTCGAAAAGAAGCTAAATTAATGCAATATAAAAATATGAGTCTATGGGTTTTTTTATTTAAATTTGAATTTTGGAAAAAAAAATAACACCTCATTTTTACCGAGACAGAGGGACTAAGGGACTAAAGGGACTAAAGGGACTAAAGGACTAAGGGACTAAGGGACTAAAGGGACTAAAGGGACTAAAGGGACTAAGGGACTAAAGGGACTAAAGGGACTAAGGGACTAAAGGGACTAAGGGACTGAAGGGACTAAGGGACTAAAGGGACTAAGGGACTAAAGGGACTAAAGGGACTAAGGGACTGAAGGGACTAAGGGACTAAAGGGACTAAGGGACTAAAGGGACTAAAGGGACTAAGGGACTAAAGGGACTAAGGGACTAAGGGAACTAAGGGTAGGAATAATGGTGTACACAGAGACGTCCATGGGTCGCGGCTCTTCGGGGGGCGCTTCGCGCCCCCACGCCGCGACGCTGAAATAAAAGCTGTGTTAAGTGGGGAAACGCGCTTCCCCACTGAATAGGCCGCTTAGTCCCTTAGTCCCTTAGTCCCCTGATGGTCAAGAAAAGTGAGCATCACCAGGACTGCTAGTAGCATCACCTGGGATGCTACTAGCATCACCTGGGATGCTACTAGCATCACCTGGGATACTGCAGGCATCACCTAGGATGCCAGTGGTATACCAGGTGATGCTACTAGCATCCCAGGTGACGCCACTACCATCCCAGGTGATGCTAGTAGCATTCTAGGTGTTGCTAGTAGCATCCCAGGTGACGCTACTAGCACCCCAAGTGACGCCCCTAGCATCCCAGGTGATGCCTCTAGCATCCCAGGTGATGCTCCTAGCTCCCCAGATGATGCTACTAGCATCCCAGGTGATGCCTCTAGCATAACAGGTAATGCT